TGCGGCGGCTGGAGGATGTTTACCTCGATCAGGATTTGGGACTCTTGCGGCTCTGGAGAGAAGCTGGAAGCCGGATGTCGAGAGAGAGAGGGTGGGAGAAGAGGGGGAGACCAAAGGGAGGAGACGCGCGGATGAGAGTGCGTCCTCTGCTTTTTGCAAGTTGGAGTTAAGAGTTGATGTAAATTGATGTTCCAGCTCTGCTTGTTGTTTTGTGCTCGGCTGCATGGGAGTGAGCTGTCAAAGATGCATGACAGAGTAGGATCCTGCGGTAAAGACGGCGACTGCAGTGTGTGTGTGCGTTGTTGGTGCGTGTGCGTGCGAGCGTGCGTGTTGCGCAGAGGAAGAGGAGTTTAAAAGCAGACATTTTGCACCCTGGCACCCTGTTGAGAAGAGGCACGGAGAAAAAGAGCACATGTGGTCCAGGTCTGACGCACAGACTGTTCCTCTGCATCCTCATGCATCTGCGCACAAACTTACAGCAGCTGCCTCCTCTTCTACACACTCACACCAGTCTGCATGGAGGAGTCTTCTTCATGAAAGATCCCACTTCATTAAGAGTGGTTATAATATTAATAATGATATGAATGCATGCTCAATCCGCAGCGGGCCACGTAACGAATGGTTGATTGATTTTCTGCAAAATGCAGCTCTGTGTATCTGTAGAGTCAAACTGTGTGGTTTTAATACACTGGCACTGGTAATAATTGATAAATAGTGTAAAGGATCAACCATAGCTGCTTGCGTGCATGTGCACACACACACTCGTACACACACAAACGCATTATAGGACTCAGACTGTTGTTTTGTGAAGTAAAACCAAAAATAACAACCTCCATGAAAATGCGTCCATCTGAAAACAGTTTCTCTCATGAGAGGTGAGTCTAAACATGCACCAGAAAAATGATTGTGCCCGAAAACATGTTGGAAACCAGCCCCACCCTGGTGTGGTAAACAGAATGATGTTAGACACAATATTAAAATAAACCTCCCTAATAACTATTGTTATTATTATGTGATGAATTCGTGAGGATAGTTCAGTCTAAATTATGAAATATTTCAACAGTATCCTGTATGTTTGACATATAAAGTCTAATAGTTTATTTCCTCTATCGTGACTCACAATTATGTAAATTACCTACTAGTCACATATTTTTCACTTACAATTTAATAAAATAACAGGCCCACAAAAGAAGGCTGAAATATATCAGTATGTCCATAAAATTATACAGAAATTATGGCACAAAAAAACATCGAACTATAGATGTGTATGGCGTTTTTTAAATCCTCTTTAATTCTATTACTGCTCATTGAGCCACAAGCAGTCTGTTGGCGTAAGAAGTCACGTTGGATTTGAACATGCACATTTGGAGCAGCGTGCACGGTGCGCGGGGCTGCAGGGTTTGGCTATCGTTAACACGGTTTTGTTGTCATAATTGGAGTCTCACCAAAGTTACATGGAGTAATTGGGCGGCATATGGACACCTTAATGTAAAGTGATGCCTTGTTAATCTCACATGAGCGCACGAATCAGAGCAAGTGACGCGGAATAACACAGAGGGGGAGAAGAGGCAGTTGATTTACCCCTGAGCAAGGCAGCAGGTCCGCTGTCTGCTGCTCGGCCATGATGGCATTTTTTATTAATTAATTAGGGGAGAAATAAAAAGTAAATTCCTTACTGAGCGTGAAGGGGAGGGGGAATTAAAATAGTTTTATCAGTGTAGAGCTCTGAGGATTTACCTTCTCATGTGTGGTGAGGTTATCAACTCATGGTTTTACTTAGAAAAACGTCTTAAATGCTCTAATGCGGGATTATTAGACGCTTAAAAAGGAGATGATCTCTCTTCATCTCTAAATGTAATTTTAGTTTATCATCTCGTAACTGGTTATCATTATAGTTGATGCCTCTTTATTTCTTCTTGCTTTTTATCCTTCAGAATTAAGTAAAACACATAAAACAAAAATTATGTTATATTTTTATACAATTTTTACTTTTGTAAATTCACTTTTATTTGAGAAAAATAAATCAATATTTTAAAACATATATTTATTACAATTTGTGAGATATATAAGTGATTACGTGTTTAAAATGCCACACACAGACTCGTGTATAAACCGTGTATTTTCATGTTGGTTTATTCCAACGAATCAAAGGCCTGAGTTCCTCTAAGAATTATAATTGTATTCAGTATCGATTGGCGCGGTGTGGTGCGTTTTCAAGGCCTATACTTCAAATAAGGCCATGCAACCACTAACACTACAATACACGTCTTCTTTATTTATTGTAGAAAACAGCAGAGAGGAATCATTTCATTTCATATGACTTTCCAAATATTTATAACATTCAACATATCTGTATTTCTCCGTAATGTCATTTATTTGTTCATAAATCATATAAATCAGAATCTGGAGTTTAAAGGTGAACCAGTAAATTAGTTAACTGCTGCAGAGGGACACAAATAATGCAATTCATTACCAAAAGGCTAAGTCGGTTTCCAAGTGCGCCCTTATATAATGCCGCCATAAATGACCATATATATTTATATCTATGATTGGGGCCAACAGAAGTAACCTCATTTATAAAAGTTTAGTTTCACCGGGTGCT